AACTGACACTACACAACTACATGAATTAACCCTTGCACCCTCACTAGATGTGTGGGTCAGGTGGTAGGTGAGGTGTACATATGAAAGAGTTGGCATTCCAGAACACAAAGGCAATGACAGCAGCACTCTTAGTTCCTATGCTTTTGCCAACTGCAACTAATGGGTCTTTACTCATGCCCAGATACATGGATTTATGGATATTGTCTAGTTTTAGCTAAACTAATCCTTGCAAAAAAGGTAACTGGCTAAAAAAGATTACTGCAAAGGTCCATATATTGAAGATAATACTAAACCACTAATATTCCTAGTAATGTCATTAATACTAGAAAAATGGCAACACTGACATTTCTTCTGTGTCTAATATGAATTCAACTCCAGCCACATTATGATTTCAAAACAATGGCTGTCAGTCATATGTAACATATCAGATACTTTAGGAAAATTAAACATGCTTAATCTGTCCCTTCAAGGTAAAGGTGACATTTTAACAATAAGAAAACAAATTACTGCATTTTGAAAACAAAATAACATATTCAAATTTTAAAGATAACATTTTTTTAAAATGGATGTTTTGAAATACTTCCATTGCTATATTATTTGGGGCCTAAAATGATGTAAGTGTATAAACTACAAAAATATTCATATCCATAGACTTAAACTTCCTAACAGAATCATTTGTATTTATTTATTTTTTTGAGATGGAGTCTCGCTCTGTCACCCAGGCTGGAGTTCAGTGGCACAATCTCGGCTCACTGTAACCTCTGCCTCCCGGGTTCAAGTAATTCTCCTGCCTCAGCCTCCCGAGAAGCTGGGATTACAGGCGCCTGCCACCATGCCCAGCTAATTTTTGTGTTTTTATGAGATAGCATTTCACCATGTTGGCCAGGCTGGTCTCGAACTCCTGACCTCAGGTGATGCATCCACCTTGGCCTCCCAAAATGCTGGGATTACAGGTGTAAGCCAATGTGCCTGGCTGAATTTTCTAACTAGTTTTTAAAGATAACAACTAATGAGTAACTGGAGATTATAAATATATTTTTTAATCTAAAAATGCAGCATCTCTCAATGAATTAACAAGAACTGACATCAGAAAAGATGGAAATTTACTAGCCGAATTTCAAAATGAATTGGAATATAATTGGTGAATAGGACTGAGAAATGAGTATTATGATTTTGTAAGCACAACTCACATCTTCTAAACATATATCCTTTCCAATTATGATAATCATTAAAACCAAGTACCAAAATATACAGAAATTAGAATCAGACCTCTGAATTTCCATATTACTAGTTGTTAAAGTAAAATTTCAATAAATAAAGAATATTATTCAATCATATTGCTTTCACCAAAAGTAAAATTACTATATACAGTTTTCTATACTTTTTGTAAGTAAAATGAAAGTATTTAAAAATTTATTTCTCACATTTTTTTTCTATTTTTACTTATGTTTATAATGTACATAATAGACTAGCAATGTAGTAAATTCATTTATCATTTTCAAATAAAGACAAGCATTAGTGGTAATTTACTATATTACTTCTTGATGCCTAAAGTAATAATTTCTAAACTTCAGAGATTACTACTTTAGGCATTAAGAAACATTAGAAAAATTTTAAATGCAAAGGAGTAAAATAAATCAGATTTGAATTTTAGAAACATAATCCTGAGGATAATGGGCAAGGATAACATATTTTAAGGTTGAAGTAATTTTTTTTTTTTAACTGAGTATCGCTCTATCGCTTAGGCAGTGGCACAATCTCAGCTCACTGCAACCTCCGCCTCCTGGGTTCAAGCAGTTCCCCTGCCTTGGCCTCCCAAGTGTGCCTACTTGGGAGGCTGGGTAGGGATTACAGGCACCCACCACCATGCCCAAAGTAATTTTTTTTTTTTTTTTTTTTTTTTGGAGATGGAGTCTTACTCTGTCGCCAGGCTGGAGTGCAGTGGAGCGATCTCAGCTCACTGCAACCTCCGCCTCCCGGGTTCAAGCGATTCTCCTGCCTCAGCCTCCCAAGTAGCTGGGACTACAGGCCCGTACCAGTATGCCCAGCTAATTTTTGTATTTTTAGTGAAGACAAGGTTTCACCATGTTAGCCAGGATGGTCTCAATCTCATGATTTGCCCACCTCCGCTTCCCAAAGTGCTAGGATTATAGGCGTGAGCCACCACGCCCCACCCAAAAGTAATTTAAAAAAAAAATCCCTGTTACTTCATTAATAGCAGAGAGCACCCTATAAACTCCTTCTGTCTTTGGATCCTTTCACAGGGCACGTATGTGTGTGGTGTGTGTGTGGGTGGGTGTGGGGGTGTGTGTGTGTGTGTGTGCGTGTGTGTGTATTTAAGATATATTTTAATGAGGTTTTCTGCAAAGCAAGGTTTCTTCTCTTTTTTTTTCCCCCTTAGACAGTCTTGCTCCGTTGCCCAGGCTGGAATGCAGTGGCATGATTATAGCTCACTGCAGCCTCAAACTCCTAGGCTCAAACAATCCTCCCACCCCAGCCTCCCAAGTAGGCACACATCACTGTGCCTGGCTAATATTTTATTTATTTATTTATTTTTTGTAGAGATAGGGTCTCACTAAGGACCTCTTATTCTATGGTCTAAACCAGAAGGCAATAAAAGTCAAAGAAGTGGGAAGACAGAGCCATGAGGGGAATTTACAGCAATATTGGGCCCTATAACCACTAACATGCGTATTATTTACCTGTAGACTAAAAGGCTAGAAAAAATGGAATACTTCTATTTTGTGACTTTCACATTTATAATTTTGTAAAGTTATACAAATTACTTTAAAAAAAAATTTGGACCAGGTATGGTGGCTCACACCTGTAATCCCAACACTTTGGGAGGCCAAGGCAGGAAGACCTCTTGAGGCCAGGAGTTCAAAACCAGCCTGCTCAACATAGCAAGACCCCATCTTCTCTACAAAAGTAACATAAAAGAATTAGGCAGGTGTGGTGGCGCATGTTATAATCCCAGCACTCTGGGAGGCTAAGGCAGAAGATTGCTTGAGCCCAAGAATTCAAGGCTGCAGTGAACTATGATTGCACCACTGCACTCCCGCCTGGGCAATACAGTGAGACCCTGTCTTAAAAATAATAATAATAATTTGAATAGTATGGCAGTATGCAAAATGAAAACTCAAAGTTCACTTCCCTCTTGCCTTACCACTCCACTGAATCCACTCTCCATGGTAGTCACTGTTAACAGTTTATTTCCTTCCAGGTCTTGTTCTATGCATATATACTTTGATGTGTATATCATACACACATATATATGCATATGTGTACATTTATGCAGTTTTTGTATTACTTTACAAAATATAGGCTCATATTCATATTGCTCTGAAACTTGCTTCTTTTACTTAATAATGTATTATAGCCATTCTTTTAGGAAAGTCAACATGGATATAGCTCCTTTTTGCAGAGCTGCAATTAATGCTATCATACTGACATAACACAGGTTACTAAACAATTCCTTTATTGATGGTCATTAGCAGTGTCTCTAATGTTTAACTTTTATGACAAGACAGCAATGAACATTCTTGTACACTTTTTTGAGTAGAGTTTGGGGTGCAGGAGGAGGTACATTTAAAATGCTGATAGATACTGCAGCATGGCTATACTAAATTCTACTAAACAATAAGGTTCCACCATTTATTCTAACATTCTTTTCCCATTAAATCATTTGATAGATTCCTAGATTCAGGAAATGACCTCAGAAAACAAACCCCTCAATTTGTGTATGAGAAAACAAAGGTTCCGAGAGGTTAACGTTATGGGCCAAAGACCTCGGAGCCCCTGAAGAGACAACACACCCATGTGCTAGCAGGGGTTCAGTGATAGAGGGGTTACTATTAACATCCAGGAATGCAATATGGGTTAACTGACTTCAAATGTAATATGTGTTCTATGAGAGATACTAACAAGTAGGAAAGGGCACTAATGATCATCTCCTTTTCCTTGCCTAACCTCAATAAGAAAAGAAAAAGGCAGTAAATTACTAGAAGATACAACAGTAAGAGGGTACAGAGAGGGAGTATTCACAAACTAGGTGGGTAATGGGCACCCAGAGCTGAAAGTGTCATAAGTTCAGCTGCATGAAGCAAGCAAGTGTGGTGGTAAAGACTTTGACATGGGATGACCTTAGCAAAAACCTTCCACAGCCTCAGTGGGTTGTATGAAAAGTTTCTTGGTTCTAAATATCTCCATGTGGCATCCAAAATGAATGCCAGTACTGAAACCAAATTCTGAAGAGAAATATCAGAAAAGAACTAACATCCCACAATGAAGAAACATCTTCAAAGAAGATGTTGTTATAAAAATACCACAAAAGTACTTTCCAACAAATTCCAGACCTAAAAGTAAGGCTTTAAAATGAGGCTCCAAGTACAGAAGTCTTGAATCCTTTGCTCTATGCCTCAAGAGGCCCATTTAAAGGAAGGCACTTCTAATTAGATAACAGTCTTTACTTGACCAGACCTATGGCGTATAGCAATGAGAAGATGGGCGCTGTAGCTTTTGAAGTTAGAATGGTCTAGAACAGGGGTCAGCAAACTTTTTCTGTAAAAGGCTGACAGTAACTAGTTTTGGCTTTGCAGGTCATATGGTCTTGGTTGCAACTCATCAACTGGGCTGTTGTAGTGCAAAAAAGAGCATAAGCAACACAGAAAATGAATAAGTATGGTCATGTTCCAATGCAACTTTATGGTCGCAGAAATCTGAATTTCATAAAATTTTCATAAAATATTATTCTTGTTTTAATTTTTTCCAACCATTCAAAAATGTAAAAACCATTCTTAGCTCATGGGTTGTATATAAACAGGTATTGGGCTAGATTTAGCCTGTGGGCCATAATTTGCCAACTGTGGTACAGAAGCACTTATTCCCAACTGAACTGAACTTGAATGTTCATGGAAAGATGAAAACATCTAAGCCTATCCCCCTAGGAAAGTTAAGGCAGAAAGGGAGAAATACGTTCTTAAAGGGTTTCAGGTGCTTACCTTAAATCTCTTCTCTTGCTGAACTCCTCTGGTGGAATTGTCCATGGCAGGCCTTGAGGAAGACATTCTAGAACTTCTGAAGAGAAATCAGAGAAATCCACGCCATACTCTGTTAGTATTCCTTCTGTTTCAGGCTCAATTTCACCAGCCTGCCCAAGACTCTTAGCCAGCTGCCTGTGGATAGAACAAAAAGGGAACAACTGGGTTAGCGAACAAATGGAATATAGGCACCTGTCTCCTCTCTAAAAGTAAGGTAGTAGGAAAGTTTAAAATCTCCTGCCCTTCCACCAGTAGAAACACGATCATCTGCAAATGAGGGACAAGGGGAAAGCAGAAGAGATAGTAGTGCTCTTGTCCTGTTAAATCTGTAACTACAGTGTAATTTTACCTTTTTTAATTTGGCATTCTGACTTGAGAAACAGAGCCAGAGGGATTTTCTTAGGACCCCTCCAACTGTTCTTCACAGAGAAGTCAAAATTGATATTATGATCAACCCACGGTGCTGTTAAATTTATTAGTTTCAGAGTGCCTGTACCTTAAGTCATGCTTACTAGATTAGTTCTGATGTTCCTATTTCACAACTCCGTGAGTTTTTATCTTTAAAATTTTAAAATATTTTATCTAAACACAAAAGTAATACATGTTCATTGCAGAGAAGTTAGAAAACACAAAATCCACTAAGAAGAAAATTAAAATTATCTGTAAACCAGTCCCCCATTGACATTTTAGGGCACTGGCCCATTAAAAATAAAATTGCATTTAACAGGACAATGCTCACATTATGCACAGGGTTCCACCTTTCAGATGGCAGATCTCACTCCTTATCAAATTGACAGCTCTCTATTCTCATAAGTATTGTCATGCCACATCACAAGTCTAAAGTTGTGCGTTGAATACAGGCAGCCAACAGGAAATGTGTTATGGGCCTTGGCTGCCTTTGTAGAGGGTATTGCGGAGACCAAAAATGGCCACCTCCTCTGTTGTATAAGTCTATTTATCTACCAGGGTGATCCAAGAGTCTGCCCTCAACTCTTCCTGCAAGAAATTTAGCTCTGGCATCAGGACATTCTCCGGGGCTATTCGATTTCTATGAAAAAGGTTCTGTTTCCTAAGTAAGTGTAGATGCTTGGCTGCTGGAGTTCTTATGTGCACAGTGGTAAAGAGGAATAGGGGAGGTGGTTGCCTCATAAGCAGAACAAATTCCAATCTTCAGGCTTGCTACTGGAATGCAGCAGTGATGGCAGCAGGGCTGGCCCCATTTCTCACACTAGTCAAGAGAGACCTGCCCAGTCTACCTGTGCACCTGCCCACCAGCCTATGATCTCGGCAGCCTGCAGACTGACCTGTGGGCTCCTACCATATAATGTGGGCTCAGAAGAGTACTTTCTCCACAAATCGGTGGTCTCTCCCATAAAACACATCAAAAAGCCAGACAGCAAAAATATGAGAGAAAAATTAACAGAAAGCGATCTGGAAAATCCCCAAATATGTGGAAATCTAACAACCTATAGGTTAAAGAAGAAATAAAAAAAGAATTAAAAAATATTTTGGACCAAGCACAGTGGCTCACGCCTGTAATCCTAGCACTTTGGGAGGTCGAGGCAGGCAGACCACAAGGTCAGAAGATCAAGACCATCCTGGCCAACATGGTGAAACCTTGTCTCTATGAAAAATACAAAAATTAGCTGGGCGTGGTGATGCCTGCCTGTAATTCCAGCTACTTGGGAAGCTGAGGCAGGAGAATCCCTTGAACCAGAGAGTCGGAGGTTGAGGTGAGCCGAGATCATGCCAGTGCACTCCAGCCTGGTGACAGAGTGAGACTCTGTCTCAAAAAATATATATATTTTTTTTGAACTGGGGTCAGGTATGGTGGCTCACACCTGTAATCCCATCACTTTGGGAGGCCAAGGCAGGTAGATCACTTGAGGCTAGGAGTTTGAGACCAGCCTGGCTAGGAGTTTGAGACCCGTTTCTACTAAAAGTACAAAAAAGTAGCTGGGTGTGGTGGCACACACCTGTAATTCCAGCGACTCAGGTGGCTGAGGCATAAGAATCATTTAAACCCAGGAAACGGAGGTTGCAGCGAGCCGAGATGGCAGCACTGCACCGCAGGCTGGGCAATGGAGTTGGATGCTATATCAAAAAAGAAAGGAAAGGAAGGAATGGAGGGAGGGAGGGAGGGAATTTTGAACTGAATGAAAACAAAACATGTCAACATTTGTGAGACATAGCTAAAACACTGTGTGGAGGGTAATTTATAGCATTAAATGCTCACATAGGAAAGGAAGAAAAGTGTCAAATCAGTGGTCTAAGCTTCTACCTTAGAAAACTGAAGAGCAAATTAGATTCTAGGTAAGGAGAAGAAAAGAAATAATGAAGAAACAAGAATCAATGAATAGAAAATGAACAAATAGGCTGGGCACGGTGGCTCACGCCTGTAATTCCAGCACTTTGGGAGGCCGAGGCGGGCAGATCACGAGGTCAAGAGATTGAGACCATCCTGTCAACATGATGAAACCCCATCAATGTCAACATGATGAAACCCCATCTCTACTAAAATTACAAAAATTAGCTGAGCATGGTGGTGCATGCCTGTAGTCCCAGCTACTCCGGAGGCTGGGAGAACCACTTGAACCCGGGAGGCAGAGGTTGCAGTGAGCCAAGATCACACTACTGCACTCCAGCCTGGGCAAAAGAATGAGAGTCTGTCTCAAAAAAAAGAAAGAAAGAAAGAAAAGAAAATGAATGAATAATGAAAACAAATCAATAAAACCAAAAACTAATTCTATTTTTCATACAGGGTCTCACTCTGTCACCCAGGCAGAAGTGCAGTGGCATGATCATGGCTCACTGCAGTCTCAACTTCCCAGGCTCAAGTGATACTCCCACCTCAGCCTCCTGAGTAGCTGAGGCCCATCTAATTTTCGTATTTTTTGTAGAGATAGGATTTTGCCATGTCGCCCAGGCTAGTCTCAAACTCCTGAGCTCAAGTCATCTGTCTACCTCGGTCTCCCAAAGTGCTGGGATTACAGGTGTGAGCCACCACACCTGGCTCAAAAGCTAATTTTTTGAAAAGAGAAAAACAGATAAACTTCTAGCCTGACTGATCAAGAAAAATAGGGAGAGAAAAACACAAATTACCAATATCAAGAACGAGAGAGGAAACACCATTTTACATCCCACAAGCATTAAAAAGATAAGGGAATAATGAATGACTTTAAGACAACAAATTCAACATCTTGGATGAAGTGAGCAAATTCCTTGAAAGATGCAAACCGCGTAGGATAATTAAAATAAATTGATACCTGAATATTCCTATTTAACATATCTATTATTTATTATATCTAATGTATCTATTAAAGAAACTGAATTCACAGTTTGAAACCTTCCCACATAGAAAACTCCAGACCCAGATGGCTTCACTGGTGAATTCTACCAAGTATTTAAGAAAGAATTATTGCCAATTCTACATAAACTCTTCTAGAATATAGAGGTGGATGGAATAGTTTCCAACTAGTTTAATGAAGACAGCATTACCTTGATATCAAAACCAAAGGATTAATGAGATCAATACCTCTCATAAACAGACTTAAAATTCTTACAAAGGTATATCAAAGTTATTGAAAAAGAAAATTTAAAAATTCTTACAAGGTTATTAACAAACAGAAATCAGTAATATATAAGAAAGATGATACATCATGACCAAATAATGCAAGATTTGTCCAACACTGAAACATCAATCGATATATCATATTAACAAACAAAAAACAAACACATATAACCATCTCAGTAAATGAAGAAAAAGCATTTGACAAAATTTCAACATTCACTTAAGACAAAAGCCTTCAGGGCATGAGTAACAGGAACTTCTTCAACTTGGTTAAAAGCCTCTGTGAGAATCCTAGCACCAATGTAAAACTTAGTGGTGAAAAGCAAAATGCTTTCCCTTGGAGCAGAAAGAAGACAAGGGTGTTCATTTTCACCAATACTATTTAACATTGTACTGGAGGTACTAGTGAATGCCATAAAGAAAAAGAAGACGCATACAAATTGGAAGGGAAGAATTGCACGCTGCCTATAAGCAGGACAAAAGACTACAATTCCCATCATAGAAGTGACCAGATTCCTACTACACAATGCCTGGCCTCTCTTTGTACAAGACCCCTCTCACTCTGTGACAACCGAAATCCAGTACATTGTATGTGACTTAAACTCTGCCTCAACTCAAGACTTTGAATGTGAAGACAGAAACACAAAGGCAAAAGGCTGCTTAGGATTCACTCACGACAGCTAGAATGGTTTCTCGTGATAGCAGCGGTGGCGGCAGCATCCAGTGAAAACGGTGTCCTGCAAGAGTGGTGGTAAGAGAATAACTGGCATTATAACCAAACTAATCCTGATAAAAGATGATGGCTGGGCTTCTTATTCTTGGCTTTCCAGAGTTGCCTTAGTTCACATCCCTTTTCAGGTCATTCAAGTCTTGTGCTCAGTGAGTTCTTTAATATCCTCTCAATAAATTCCTTTCCCAACCAGAGGTGGTTTTTCTTGCTTGTAACCAGCAACCCAGACAATTAAAGACTCAGGTCTCATTAATTTTCAAAAATGACAAAATTATTACCTGTGTTCACTAGAATGAAGTTCCAGCTGAAGATATGGGGGACCTATTATCACAACCTTTGAAATTTGAAGGACACAGGAATTCAACACTGTGAGTACAAGATGAATACTTGTAACAATGTTGTTTACCTTAAAAACAACTTTATTCTGGTGATGAAGGTAATAATTAGTCATTTTAAAAATTATTTTGTATTCTGAAAATTAATGGAACCTGAGTTAGTTCCAATCCATCTAACTCATTTACTATTCTCACAGGTCCCTGAGGTTCTGTTTCCTACATTCATCTCCTAATATCAACATCTTTAACAGTCTGTCTGGGTCCTTTTTTGTAAGTACAGAAGACCAATGCTGGCTGGAAAAGAAAAAAAGAAATTTATTGAAAGGATATCAAAGGGCTCACAGAAACAGTGAGAGGGTTGAAGAGCCAGAAAAAGGGGGAGAAACAAAGAATTACATGCTTCATCTCTAAATTCTTCATTCTAAATTCATTTCTAAGACTGAAACTCAGGGACTTAGTATGTCCATCAAAAAAGTATCTTGAATCTCTTGTAGCTGCC